AATTATGGGCAGAGGAGCCAAGAAGAGGAAGCCAACAGTTCAGAGGTTCAATGCTGTCACTTCAGAAAAGTGCAATTCCAGGAGGGGAGGGGTCCCCGAGATGTTTGCAATCAGCTTCACCAACTTTGCCGTCAGTGGCTGCAGCCAGAAAGACACACGAAGGCTCAGATGCTGGATTTGGTGCTCCTGGAGCAGTTCCTGGCTGTCCTTCCCCCAGAGATGGAGAAATGGGTGCGGGAGTGTGGAGTGGAGACCAGTTCCCAGGCGGTGGCCCTGGCTGAAGGCTTCCTCCTGACCCAGGAGTCGGAAAAGATGCAGGTGTGAGAATGTAATCATTTCAACTCTAAAGAGAATCTCTCTGAATTTGTCAATCCCTTTTTGGTAGAGCTTTCTGGGATTATTAATTCCTATGGACAGTTGTTTCATTTTTCTTCCAGAGGATGTCACTTTGAGGCAATTTTTCCATTCTGTTTTGAGTTTCAGCAATGACAGTGGGGTCTACAAGTTTGAAAGTGCAGTATAATAATTGATATCTATTTCTCTGCTCTTCCTTTGTTTCTTGTACCACATCATGTCCAGAAATCCTTGGAAACTTTGACTGAATATCCCAAGGGGTGGAAAGATTCACTCAGAACTTCTCAAGAGCTTCTGTTCAGGGGGACTTTACACAAAGATCAAAGTTACGATACCACACCAGGTAAGAAAAGCTCTTTATGTGTGATGTGAGATTTCTTTTTTATTATTGTTATTACTATTTTATTTATAATTTTTTTCTTAAAATTACATAAAAGCTCTATATCTACAGTGTGTTGATTGGGTACCTTTTAAAAAGTATTAATAATAATGACAGTAATATTCATAACTGTAATTGTATTCACATATTGATAGTAATATTTGCTTCTCCATACTAATAAATTTTCATTATTTGATTAATCGTTCTTTTTTAGTTTCTAACTTTTGCTTCTATTTAACCATTAATAAAACACAGGTTGTCTTTCAACTTCTAATCTTTACTTAATAGTGATGTAATGTTATGTAATAATATACATAGTAATAATTTTCCCATTTCTAGTTTCCACCTCTATATTAATTCTTAATAAAAACAACTCCTGTATTAGGACACATTCTATATCTATTCCTCATCTCTTGTACATTTTCATATTTCAACTCTTATTGACTTCTTGGCATATTTCCCATGCTCCTCCCTTGGGATCTTGTATCTTCTTACATTGTTCATGTTTGTCTAAGTATTTCATCTATCTCTACAGCTCCTTCACTCTGTTGAGGCTTCAATACACCTTTCAATGGTTCTTTCCTCACTTCAGAAATGTATTTCTGTGTATTCTCTTTTACATTTTGATCTCTTAAAGTGTAATTTGCCTTTTCTATTTCATAAACTTTTAATATCGCTTCCTTTTTATCTTTTTGTATCATTTGTCTCTTTTCCTCCCCTGTCCTTTCCTCTGTTCTTTCTATTTTCTCCTCTATTTCCTGGATTTCTTGTTCATTATTCAGTATCATTTGCTCATGGTTTTCTGGTCTCACAACTATATCATGTATCAATTCCTTTATCTCCCTATCATTCCTTGTCATCACTTCAATAATATTTCTTTTAGTAATACACTTATTTTTCCTGTTGTAACGTTTTTCCTTATTTTAGTGAATTAAAATATTACTCAGTAATCTTCAAGATCCCAATGTTCCAATTATCTGTCACACCAAAAAAGCCAATATTAGAGCAGTTCACAAAATCACAAAATTAAATAGTCCATTAGCAACTTCCTCTTAGTTCAAAAGAAATCCAAACTGTTTCACACTCTCACACTGTCCAGCATATTTGTAATCCTCAAAGATTCTAAAGTTGAATGTTTTCACAGTCTGTTTCCAGACACCAAGTAAAATCAATTTGCAGGTGTTGTTTAGTGTATTCCAGCTTCTCTATCCCAGTCAAAACAACTTTCACTTGTTTTTTCACTTTTTTCAGCTCTATAGTGTCTTTCCCAGCCAGTATAGTGTCTTCCCTGCTCTCACTTTTTCTCCATTTTTGGTGCGAGTAAAATGTCTCCAAAAGTATTTTTTAAATAATTTTTCAAAGTCCCTCAAATCAAAGTGACAACAAAAGTATAATCCAATATTTTAAAACAATTTAAATTGATGAAAACTAGCCAATCCAGTCTATCCTTTATCTTTAAGGTTGCTTCTTTCTACAATTTCTTTTCTTTCTTTTCTGGATCTGATAGTAGCTCGAGGTCTTGGTCGCCGCTCTTCTTTGGGTGCAGGGGAAAACCCTACCTCCATCTCAGTTGAGTCTCACTTTCCAAAAGGGGTGTTTTGGGGAAAATTCCACAGCAAAAATTAGAAAATTCTCACCCAGATCAATTACACTGTTATAGGATCTTTTCTTCCTTCTCTTCCATTTCACTTGTCACAATAATGGCTGTCCTATCTTCCCCAGGTCAAATGGGGAGACTGCGCTGTGATGTGAGATTTCAACATTTAGCTGATTCTTTTGCTCCTCTTGATTGGAACCTCTTTATAACAAATCTGCTTCCCCCATTTTATCCTTACAGAGAGTAGAAAGCTGTCCTTGGAAATTTTAGAGGCACTTCCTCCTTTTAGTGGGGCTGAAGGATTGGCTGAACCGCAACTTCAGGTAAGGAGGAGAAAGATCAGAAAAGGTCCATGTATCTTGGATGGATTTCATTTTGTTCTAGAGTTTATTGTAACAAATTGCTGTTTCTAAGCACTGCGAATCTGACATCCGGTCATTCAAAACTGATATGCAGCCTAGCCTATCTCCCTTCTGAAGGGGATCCTTTGTGAGACACTTTCTCCACCTCTCCTACTTCGCCTTCAGATTTCATTGACCAGATTGTTGTCAGCATTGGGGCTCTTCCTTCTGTCTCCCAGGGTTCTTCTTACATACCATTAAAAAATAGTTTTTTGCTTTTTCAAAAACATATTTGGAACAACCGTAACCTAGTGATTGAGAATCTCCATAGACATATACTATTAAAGTTCTTCTAACACCTTTATGAAGATGTGGAGTTGGTCCCTCAGTGGATAAAGTAAGCAAAAGTAAAAGTAAAGTAGGCAAAAATGTCAGGTGGGTTTGGCCAGTATTTCACATTGCCCACCCTAGGAAGATTGGAGCCACTGATAACTGGTAGAGTTAAGACCCAACAATCAATTTGGCTTTCTAATTATTTGTAACTTAATCAAATGTAATTCACTTGTGCCGCCAGCCAAAACAAAGACTTCATTCTGAGTTGTGCAGAAGATGCCCATTTTGTTCACTGGATCTCTCTCTTTGAATTGGTGAAAGAAAACTGTCAAATTATACTTTGGGTTATCTATTAAAAGGAAAACATGTTTCCTTGTTCAGGGTGGTGTGTCTTTTGAGGATGTGGGCGTGTATTTCTCCAAGGAGGAGTGGTCACAGCTGGATGCTGACCAAAAAGCACTCCACAGAGAAGTCATGTTGGAGAATTCCAGGAATCTGTCTTCTTTGGGTAAGAATTCTATCTTGCTCAGAAATATAGAAAATCATGGGGCTTAGATATTGTTTCTGTTAAAAACATTTATTTATATCTAAATAAGCAGACATACCCAATATTCCTTCTTCCCGCTTTTTTCCCTACAACAGCAATCCTGTGACATGGATTGAGCTCAGAGAGACTAGGCCAAAGTCACCCAGCGAACATTCATCCCTAAAGCTGAACTAGTACTCACTGACCTAGTTTCTAACCTGGTGCCTTAACTATTTCACCAAACTGAACTTATGGAACAAGAAAATTTATTGAAAGAAACATTGGAAAACTGCATTGCCTTCCTTTTTACACAAAGGAAATGGTTTTTTTTTTCTAAATGCTGTCTTCTCATAAAATACAAAATATTGATTTCCAGGTCATAGATGGTATTAGTGAGAATCTGAGGGACAGACTACAGGTAGGGGTGGTGTGTCCACTCTTGAGCCTGGAAGTTCTGCCTTCCAGGGTTCGATATTCACTCCTGAATCTGGTCACTGGCTCCCCATGGGCCTGAGTTGATATAACTGAGACTGGATGGGTCCTTAGTGGGATGTTCCCATTCCTTCTCCGAGATGTGCCCACTTGTGTACCAAGTTTGTCATGAGCCTAATTGAGGTTGGGGAGCTACTGCCATCCAGATATTCCACTTGGGTTTAAAAGTTTCTGTTCTGCAGAGAAGTAGAGATGAGACTTCCAATGAAGTGCAGGAGCTGGTAGGCATGTTGTTGTCCCAGTATGACACAATGTCCAATGGCGTTCAGGAATGGGACTGTTCTAATGGCACCATGGAACTGTCCCAACTCAAGGATTAGATCTGGGTTGAGTCTTAGATTCATTGTGATATGATCTAATCCTGTTTATATGAGGATCAGTGGAGATACACTTGGAAATGGGTCTTTGCTAAAATCTTAGTTTGGCATCTTTGCCAACAAAATATATTGATGATTCGTTGGTGAAATTTCGGAAGAAAGGGTTTGATTGTTTTCCTGTTCTTGCTACAGTTTTCATTTTTCTTTTTCAAGGCTTTAATGGGCAAGAGGATAAGAATAGCAAGCAGGAATGCCAAGCAATCCATCTGAAAGAGGGAAAAACGAACTTTGCATATCAGTTACAACCAAAGAGTAATGAAACAAAGCAATCACAAAGTGGAATTAAAAAAGACATTCCTCTGGTCATTTGGCTTTCTAACCATACAAACATTGATACGGGAGAAAGACCATATCAATGCATGGAGTCTGGAAAGAGCTTTAATAAATCTGATCATCTCATTTCCCATAAAAAAAAACATTCAGAAGAGAAGCCATATACTTGCAGGGAGTGTGGAAAGACCTTCTGTTATAATTACTCTCTTATAAGACATCAAAGGAACCTCAAAGGAGAAAAGCCTTATAAATGCGGGGAGTGTGGAAAGATCTTCTGTAACAATCACTCTCTTAGAACTCATGTAATTAATCACAAAGGAGAACAACGTTATAAATGCATGGAGTGTGGAAAGACCTTTACTGGTAGGAGTAATCTTAATTCCCACAAGAGGATCCACACAGGGGAGAAGCCTTATCAATGCATGGAGTGTGGAAAGACTTTCTGTTATCATTACACTCTTATAAGACATCAAAGGAATCTCAAAGGAGAAACACCTTATAGATGTGGGGAGTGTGGAAAGATCTTCTGTAATAATCATTCTCTTAAAACTCATGAAATGAATCACAAAGGAGAACAACTTTATAAATGCATGGAGTGTGGAACCACCTTTACTGGTAGGAGTAATCTTAATTCTCACAAGACGATCCACACAGGAGAGAAGCCATATAAATGTGTGGAATGTGGAAAGGGCTTTAGATTGAATTCTGTTCTTACCATCCATAAAAGGATCCACACAGGGGAGAAACCATATCAATGCATGGAGTGTGGAAAGCGTTTTAGGAAGAGTAGTGATCTTGCCTCCCATAATAGGATCCACACAGGAGAGAAACCGTATCAATGCATGGAGTGTGGAAAGACCTTCTGTTACTCTACATCGCTTATAATTCATCAAAGGAATCACAAAGGAGAAAGACCTTATAAATGCATGAAGTGCGGAAAGACCTTTACGTGTACCAGTCATCTTAATGGCCATAAGATGATCCACAGAAAAGAGAATCCATATCATTGTTTGGTGTGCGGAAAGACCTTCGGTTATAATCGTTCTCTTATACTCCATCAAAGGATTCACAAAGAAGAAAGACCATATCAATGCATTGAGTGTGGAAAGACCTTTACTTGCAGCAATAGTCATAACTCCCACAAGAAGATCCACACGAGAGAAGCTATATTAATGCATGGAGTGCAGAAAAAGCTTTATTAGGAAAAATGCTCTGATTCACTGTAAAACTATCCATACAGAGGAGAAGCCATATCAATGCATGGTGTGTGGAAAGACCTTCTGTTATTATGACTCTCCTATAAGACATCAAAGGAATCACAAAGGAGAAAGAACTTTGGTTGTAGCAATTTTCATAAAATGATCCACACAGGAGAGAAGCCACGTTTAAGTTCTTCCTATGTTCCCTTATACTAGATATTTAGTATATTGATATTATACAATGTCCTTTTTAATATATTATTACTAATATTATTTCTAATACCAATGGTGGCTAACCTTCTCGCCACTGAATGCTGAAACGTGCGCACCGGATACCCCGAAAAGCAGCTCCCTGATTCACGCCCGCAGGAGTGGGGGAAACCGGAAGGTTAGCTTCCTGGGGCGTGCATCTGCCCTGGCCATCTGATCTTCCAGTTTATAATGCGCATGCATGCCGGAAGATCAGCTTCTGGTTTCCCCCGCTCCCATGCACATGAAGACAAGCTGGCAGGTGCACATGCACGCACTGGGAAGCTAAGGTTCTAGTTTCCCCCGCGCGTGCACTGGAACCAGGAAGAGCAACGGGCAACAGCTGGAGACATGGCTCTGCGTTCCACTTTCGGCACACAGAACATAGGTTCACCATCACAGTTATATACAGTTGTTAATTTATGCTATATTATACTATTTCTACTGCAAGTATATTGTTTATTGCTACTGTACATGGAATGGAATGGAATTCTTTATTGGCCAAGTGTGATTGGACACACAGGGAATTTTTCTCCAGTGCATAAGCTTTCAGTGTACATATAAGCCATCGCTTATACAATAATATTATTACTCTTATAAACCCTGGACTGTCTTCAATTCCTCTCTGGTGTTTCCTCTTGTTTTTATTTTATATTAATGTAAGCAGGTAAAGTACTGACACCTGACCAACATTGGTGGTGGCTTATTCGATGTCACACTTTATGACCACATCACTTAGCGATGGAAGTTCTGATCCAAATACCATTCCTTAACCAAGAACTACAGGTGGTCCACAGCTTTCGACCACAATTGAGTCCAGAATTTATGTTACTGAGAAATTTGATAAGTGAGGCTTGCCCCAATTGTATGACTCTTCTTGCCACATTTGTTAGGTACATCACTGCAATTGTTACATTAGTTATGTGGTTGTTAAGTGAATCTGACTTCCCCATTGATTTTGCTTGTCAGAAGGTCACAAAATGTGATCACATGACTCTGGGACACTATACCTTCATAAACGTGAGTCAATTGTCAAGCATCCACATGTAAATCATGTGACCATGCTTCAACACTCATAAATGTGAAAAATGGTAATAAGTCACTTTTCACTGCTGTTGCAAATTTGGTAACTAGACAAACTGTTGAAAGTTGTCTGGGAATTCAACATAATTCAAGCAATAAAACAAAATAATTCAAGCAATAGAACAAAAACACATATATGTTATGACTCACCTTTACAAAGAAGATGAGAAGTCCAAAACTCTGACCAAATACAAGCAGGCAAGGAGATTCAGTATTTACAGAGTTAATTCCTTTGAGCCAGCAATGTTCTTGGCAGTATCACACACGCTGCCTGCCAAGTTCGACAAGATAACAGAAACATTAATCACGAACGCTTTCAGGAAACAAGATACACCGAAGCTCCACAGAAAATTCACACTTTGTCCCGTACAGAGTTCCTAGAGAAAACACACCCACTTTTATTCCCTGTGGGGTGTGTCACTAACTCAGCTCAGTCTCTGATTCGTCCACATCTCCTGCGTTGCAGCTCACACTTTTTCCTGTGACGCTGCCTAGCATCAAGCCAGCATTCGTCTGCTTGATTCTCTATCAAAAGCAGCTCCGATATGCCCTCCTCCGCCTGATTAGCCTCAGGCTGTCCCTCTCGGTTATCTGCCGAAACCTGAGGCATAATCAGGGAGGAAGGCATTGCCGAAGAGGAAGGTTCTGGGGGGGAAGGCATTCCCAATTCCACCTCCTCATCTTCCGAGTCCTCTTCCTCTAAGAATGCAGACTCAGGACTCGGAGCCACAACACATATATATCAATGTATCATGTGAAAAGAGTTTCAGGATGAAGAATTCCATTCCACAAAAAAGCAGAATAAGAAGTGAAATCCATGTTCAAATACATTTTTGAAGCATTAGAGCTATGGGGGTGCAGTGCTTAGAATGCAGTATTGCAAGCTAATTCTGGTGACTGCCAAGAGTTCAATTCTAACTGGCTCAAGGTTGACTCAACGTTGCATTCTTCTGAGGCTGGTAAAATGGGGACCTAGATTGTATGGAGCAATATGCAGACTCTGTAAACCGTTTATGGAGTGTTGTAAAGCACCATGAATCAGTATGTAAATTTAAGTGCTTATAGCTATTGCTATTTTGCCTTTCTAAGATATGAGAATAATTAGGAAATCTCTAAATTCAATTTAAATAAATTAGATTTAATTGAAGTTAATTGGATTTTAATTAGATTTCAATAAAATTAATTTTGGATTTAAATAAAATTAAATTTCACTGGTATGGTTATTCATGAGACATTTTTAAATTATTTCTAGTAAATTAAAAATTAAAAACAGAGGAAAACTTGTGGAAGGATTTGGAGTGGGGAAATAATTCAGGCTTTCGGAGACTCAGGCTGTTTTGAAGCTATTTATTGAAATAGTGCTCATTTATGGTTCTGGATCAAAGTGATAAAAGAGCACCAATCTTGGTTTTGTAGCCATTATGTCAATTTTCTCCACTATAGAAGACTGAGAAAAATGGGCTCAAAAGAACCAGGCTTTGGGCAAGACAGAGATGTTAATTCCATTCTTTTTAAGTTGCTTCTTAACTCTTATTTCCCCATTTCTTTATTTCATTAATTTAGATAAATCTCTTGGCTGTTCTTGCACTGTCATCTCCAAATCCACACTAATCTCTTCAAACCATGGGAGTCTTCAGCTCTTTTGGCTAGAAGAAAACTTGTGCTTTGTTTAGTCTGGTAGACTGACATTGTATTTTAACATCCTGCTGATATTTCCTGAGCTGTCTTCCCTACTAAAAAACCAAAACGAAGCCATTTTTCTTTTTTGCCTTATGGAATTTGAACTTTATGTGTATTTCTCAAGATTTGCCTTCCTGTATTTTCTAATTCCACTTTTCCTCCAGTCACCTATGAGACACCATTCTCCTATTCGTCTCTCCATCATGGCGCCTTGTTTTGAGGTAAAATTTCTAAACCTTCAATGAGTTGGAGCTTTCTCTCCATTTTGGATCTTGTTTCCTTTTGATGCCCCCTTTTCAAGCAAGAACGTTTCTTCTGGATTCTTCTCATTTTTGCTGCTGCCATTTGCTGTTTTGAACCACTGTTAGCTGCTCAGAGGCATGAATTTGAAAAGGCAGCTGAAATAATGGAAATAAAACATCAATAAAAATCTTAATTGTCCTAACCCTTCACTTCCCATCCTTTAACTCTGCCAGCCTGCCCTCTTATCTTCCCTCACTTCAGGGCTGACTTTGCCAACAACCACATGATACAAATCTGGGCTTCAAAGAGAGGCCTCTCTTCCTTTTGAGCCTCCACAGAGATTTTCTCAATATTCACAAGATCACAGATCGTTCTTAGACCATTAAAAAAACGGGAAAGTCTAGAAATTGCTGCCTGCTGCAGACAGGCAATGCTAGAAGAAGCCTTTCCTTCTACTCCAATGCCCATCATCCCAGGCCCGCATGGAACATGATGAACTGTCCTATGCCCTGACAGGGTCCACCTGGCGTTGCACGCAGGATCCACCAGGGGGCTCCCCAGGTAGCCGTTAGAAAGGCAGGGGCGGCCCTCACCCGCTTCAGGAGGGAACTGAGCATGCGCTCTTTCACCAGGTCCGAAAGCCTCGCGGGGCATTTTGCAGGGAAGGGTGGAAGCGCGTCCGCCCTTTCTACAGTGCCCGATTCTGCTCCCTCTCGACCCGCCCCTCCCTCGCTGCGAGCCTTAGGCGGAGCCTTTCCAGCAGTCCAAGAGGCTTCAAAGGAAGCCTTGCACGGAGGGAGATTAAGACCTGACTCCGGAGTTCAGTAAGTCGGGGGGACGGGACACTTTTTCTTCCATAGGCTGGACCGTGCGTGGAGAGACGCAAAACTTCATCAAGTTTGGAGTCCTGGAAAGTGGGAAGCCCCTTGTCCCATGTTCTCCAGGAGGAAAATCGGGACCACCAGAAAAGTCGGAGCCATTCAGGGTTAGGCGAAAAGTGAGAAACCTCTTTCCAGGAGATGCCTGCATCAAAATATCAAGTTAGGTCGTAGCTGGTTTATTGATTCGGGTATTACTCTCTGCATTGAATCGTGGTTTGTTGATGTGATGTTGCAGCTACCCTAGCGGATTGGGCCAGGAGGTTAATGGGGTTCTGCTATCTAGTAACAGAACTTCCAGTATAAAGTTATACTGGAAATTTAAATATTAATTTACCTGTTAAATCGATTTAGAAAGCCACTCATCTCAAATTTTATTTGTTTTATTATAGTATGAATATAGTATATCAAAATTCATTTCAATCAAACTGTGTTGTCTGGGTACAATTGTTTAATCAAGGTGTTCATCACAAGATTAATACTGTAGTAACAATATTTTGTCCATTTTAACAAATTCACATTTTAACATATATCTTTTTTATGTCCTTTTCTTTCTAACTTCTGTTTTTATTGTCTAGCCATTGATAAAATGAGTCCCATGTCAAAAATATTCAGTTTCTTTTTTGTCCTTCATTTCTGCACATTCTAATATTTTCTGAATTACATTCTAATCTGTCAGGATCTCATCACACTTCCATTGTTGAGCATATACAATTCTAGCTGCAGTTAATACATGTAAAATCAAGTACACAGTCTCTTTATCATATTTTTCTGGTAGAATGCCTAATAAGAATATTTCTGGTTTCATGTCTATAAGCTGTTTTATCATTTTTTCCAACCAGCTATGTATTTTCGTCCAATATTTTTTAGCTTGTGGACATGTCCACCACATATGGTAATATGAATCAGGTGTTTGATTACATTTCCAACGTTTAGCAGATCTATTCTTATACATTTCCACCAATCTTGTTGATGCAAAATACCCTCTGTAAAACATACAGATTTTCTTTATATACAGTTGACATAGTCCATTTAACATTTCTGTCCCACAGTTTCTGCCATTTGTCTAATTCTATAGCATATCCAAAAATTTTAGCTCAAACAATCATTGTCTCCTTTACCTGCTCACTTTCAAGTTTAATACCCAATAAATAACAATATATTTTCTTTATCCATTTTTCATTGGTTCCACTTAGTATCTGGTCCAGATCCGTTAATTCTTTATTAAAACCATACATTTTAGCATCTTTCTTGTATCGAGATTATATCTGCATTTGAGAAAGCCATTCATTTCAATGGCTGTTTGTGGCTGGAGACATTTATCACCTGAATTGTACACAGATTGTTTTTAAGCAGCCATCAAAATTATTTGAATAAGTAGGAATTAAAAAAACAAAAACATTTTAAATATATGTATCCCAAAGTTTTTAGTCCTTGATCATAGTTGATACAGAAGGTTACTACATAATTTTTTCCACATACAGATATGGTAGTCTACCAATAGTAAGATTTCCTCCCTCTTTCCAGATACTGTTGGGTTCATAAGAATTTTTTATTTGGGTTTTTGTGGATGCTCAGTTGATAAGTTGGTCAGCCTGTATTTCTGGAAGTTTCTTTTGTTTTCCATTTCAGATAAGTTGGAAATATTTCCTGATTACCTTGGAGTCTGAAGTATCTTGTGAAGAAAGAGAGCTGAATGGCCTTTAGGAGATTTGGCCAGACGTCTTCTGATTAGTAACGCTTGAGAGATCCATCCATTCATTTTGGAGCTGGATTAGAGACCAGTGAAAAGATGGAGGGACAATGCCCAGCAGATGCAGGAGTTGGAAAAGGTCCTCCAGCTATTGAGCCTTGGAGCTGTGGGGAAAATGAGGCAAATTCTGGGCAGAGGAGCCAAGAAGAGGAAGCCAACAGCTCAGAGGTTCAATACTGTCACCTCAGAAAAGTACAGTTCCAGGAAGGGAAGAGTCCCCGAGATGTTTGCACTCAGCTTCACCGCCTTTGCCATCAATGGCTGCAGCCGGAAAGACACACGAAGGCTCAGATTCTGGACTTGGTGCTCCTGGAGCAGTTCCTGGCTCTCCTTCCCCCAGAGATAAAGAAATGGGTGCAGGAGTGTAGAGCACAAACTAGTTCCCAGGCGGTGGCCCTGGCCGAAGGCTTCCTCCTGACCCAGGAGTCCGAAAAGATGCAGGTGTGAGAATGTTATCATTTCAGCTCTAAAGAGAATCTCTCTGAATTTGTCAATTCCATTTTGGTAGAGTTTTCTGGGATTATTAATACCTAAGGCCAGTTGTTCCATTTTTCTTCCAGAGATGTGTTTGGGGCAAGTCTTCCATTCTCTTTCGAGTTTCGCCAAAGGACATTGGGGTCTGCTAGTTTTAAGGTGCAGTATGGTAATTCCTTATTGCTCTTTCTTTGTTTCTCATATCACATCATGTCCAGAAATCCTTGGAAGCTATGACAGAGTATCCCAAGGGGAGGAAAGATTCATTCAGAACTTCTCAAGAGCTGCTGTTCACAGAGACCTTACACAAAGATCAAAGTCAGGACACCACGCCAAGTAAGAAAAGCTCTCTGTGATGTGAGATTTCAACATTTAGCTGGTTCTTCTGCTCCTCTTGATTGGAATGTTTCTTAACAAATCTGCTTACACTACTTCTCTCTTTCTCACAGAGAGTAGAAAGCTGTCCTTGGACTTTTTAGAATCATTTCATCTTTGTGGTAGAGAAGGATTGGCTGAACCGCTATTTCAGGTAAGAAGAGGAAACATCAGAAAAGGTCCATGAATCTTGGGTGGCTTTTAATTTTGTTCTGGAGTTCAATGTAATAAATTGTTGTTTCTAAGCAATACAAATCTGATATTAGATTCATAATTCATATTTAGCTTAGATATTGTTCCAGGGGTGGGATTCAGCCAGTTTGCACCAGTTCGGGAGACCCGGTTGTTAACTTTCTGAGCAGTTTGGTGAACTGGTTGTTGGAAGAAATCATTAGGGCAGAGAACCAGTTGTTAAATTATTTGAATCCCACCACTGCTTCTTTCTCTTCTGAGGGGATCCTTTGTGAGGCACTTTCTCCATCACTTTTTTACTTTTTTTTTGCACCTTTTGAAAAGCATCTTTGGGACAACCATGACCTGATGATTGAGAATTTCCATAGACATATCCTGTTACAAGCTCTTCTAACACCTTCATGAAGGTGTAAAGTTTGGTTACATTTCCCCCTCAGTAAATAAAGTAAGCCATTGGCAAAAATGTCGGGTGGCTTTTGCCAGTATTTGGCATTGCACATCCTAGGAAGAATTGGGGCAACTGATAACTAGTGAATTTAAGACCCAACTACCAATTGACCAAGAAAACTATTTTAGTTGGCTACACTGAAAGGCATTCCACATACTTCCAACATGATCCAATGTGCCATCAGTTAAAAGCGGTGAGATCTCATTCTGAATTCTGCACAAGATGCCCATTTTGTTCACTGGATCTCTCTCCTTGACATGATATGTTAAAAGGAAAACTTGTTTCCTTGTTCAGGGTGGTGTGTCTTTTGAGGACGTGGCCGTGTATTTCTCCAAGGAGGAGTGGTCTCAACTAGATGCTGACCAAAAAGCTCTCCATGGAGAAGTCATGCTGGAGAATTCCAGGAATCTGGCTTCTCTGGGTAAGAATCCCTATCTCTGCTCAGAAATATTGAAAAGTCATGGGGTCAGGGAGGGGGGCTTAGATGTTCAGAAATAGATTAAGTGAAATAAGTGATTAAAAAACAATTTATTTGTATCCTGCCTTTATTTTTTGGGAAATAATAAAGGCAGCGGACAAACCAAATATTCCTTCCTCCTGCTGTTTTCACTATAACAGCAATCCTGTGACATGGTTGAGCTGAGAGAGACTGGCCCAAAGTCACCCAACCAGCATTCATCCCTAAGGCTGAACTAGAACTCACTCACCTAGTTTCTAGCCTGGTGCCTTCACCATTTGACTAAACTGACTTAATGGAAGAAGGAAATTTATTGAAAGAAAACTTGGAAAATTGCATAGCCTCTCTCCTTACATAAAGGAAATGTGTTTTAATGCTTTCTGGTCATAAATTACAAAATAATCATCTCCATGCTTCAGAAGATATTAGCAAGAATCTGAGGGATAGGCTTCAGGGATGATGTGCCTCTCTTGAGCAAGATTCTACCTACTCCTGAATCTCATCTTCAATGGCCCTGAGCTGCTGTAACCAAGACTGGATGGGTCCAGAGTGGGATGTCCCTTCTCTGAGATGTGCCCATTTGTGTTTGACATCAGCCTAATTGAGGGTGGGGAGCTATTGCCATCCAGAAATTCCCCTTGGCTTTCAAAGATTCTGCCCTGCAGACAAGTGGGGATGAGATTTCCAATGAAGTTGGGGAGCTGGTAGGTAGGCATGTTGTTGACCCAGCATGATACCGTGTCCAATGGACTTCAGGGGTTTGTGGCCCCATGAAATAGTTCCAGACCAAAGATTAGGTTGTGTCTTAGATTCATTGTGATGTGATCCAATCTGGTTATATGAATAACAATAGGGATACATTTGGAAGTGGTTCCTTGCTAAAGTCGTAGTTTGGAATCATGTTTGCCAACAAAGCAGCCAAAATATATTGATGATTTTTTGCCTAAAATTAATAAGAAAATGTTTGATTGCTCCCCTATTCTTACTACAATTTCCATTTTTCTTTTTTAAGGCTATAATGGGCACGAGAATAAGAATTTCAAGGAGGAATGCCAAGCGATCCATTTGAAAGTTGGGAAAGGGAAGCTATATCAATGCATGGAGCGCGGAAAGCACTTTCGCAAGAAAAGCATTCTGATTCACCATAAAACTGTCCATACAGAGAAGCCATATCAATGCATGGAGTGTGGAAAGACCTTCTGTCATAATAAATCTCTTATAAGACATCAAAGGAATCATAAAGGAGAAAGACCTTATAAATGCATGGAGTGTAGAAAGAGCTTTACTTGTGGTAGTAGTCTCAATTCCCATATGAGGATCCACACAGGAGAGAAACCATATCAATGCAAGGAATGTGGAAAGACCTTTGCTTCTAGTAGTGGTCTCAATTCCCATAAGAGGATCCACACAGGAGAGAAGCCATATCAATGCAAGGAATGTGGAAAGACCTTTAATTGTAGCAGTAATCTCAATTCCCATAAAAGGATCCACACCGGAGAGAAACCATATCAATGCATGGAGTGTGGAAAGACCTTTATTTCTAGTGGTTGTCTTAATTCCCATAAGAGGATTCACACAGGAGAGAAGCCATATCAATGCAAGGAATGTGGAAAGACTTTCTCTCATAATTACTCTCTTATAATTCATCATAGGAATCACACAGGAGAGAAGCCATATCAATGCATGGAATGTGGAAAGGGTTTTAGCAAGAGTAGTCATCTTACCTCCCATAAGAGGATCCACACAGGAGAGAAACCGTATCAATGCATGGAGTGTGGAAAGACCTTCTGTTATTCTAAGTCTTTTATAATGCATCAAATGAATCACAAAGGAGAAAGACCTTTTAAATGCATGGAGTGTGGAAAGAGCTTTACTTGTGCCAGTCATTTGAAGACCCATAAGATGATCCACATAATAGAGAAGCCATATCATTGTGTGGAGTGCGGAAAGACCTTCTGTTATAATCGTTCTCTTATGCTCCATCAAAGGATTCACAAAGGAGAGAGACCATATCAATGCATGGAGTGTGGAAAGACCTTTACTTGCAGTAGTAATTTCAATTCACATAAGAGGATCCACACAGAAGAGAAACCATATCAATGTAAGGACTGTGGAAAGATCCTTACTTCTACCAGTAGTCTTAATTCCCACAAGAAGACCCACACAGGAGAGAAGCCATATCAATGCATGGAATGTGGAAAAAGCTTTAGTAGGAAATATGCTCTGATTCACCATAAAACTATCCATACAGAGGAGAAGCCATATAAATGCATGGAATGTGGAAAGACCTTCTGTTATTATGACTCTCTCATAAGACATCAATGGAATCACAAAAGAGAAAGACCTTATCAATGCATGGAGTGTGGAAAGACCTTTAGTTGCAGCAGACATCTTGATTCCCACAAGAGGATCCACTCAGGAGAGAGGCCTTATAAATGTGTAGAATGTGGAAAAGGCTTTAGGTGGAATTCTGCTCTTTCCTGCCACAAAAGAATCCATACAGGAGAAAAACCATATCAATGCATGGAGTGTGGAAAGACCTTTGCTAGTAATGGTAGTCTTAATTCCCACAAAAGAATCCACACAGGTGAGAGGCCATATAAATGTGTGCACTGTGGAGAAGGCTTTAGAAGGAGTTGTGATCTCACTTCCCATAAAAGGATCCATACGGGAGAAAAAAACAATATGAATGGTGTGTGGTAAGAGTTTTGCAAGGAGTAACGCTCTTACTTGCCATAGAGGGACCAACACACAGGGGAAACCATTATCAATAAAGAAATTATCAGAAGAGCTTCAATAGAAATGCAGGTAGTCATAATATGACCGCAATTGATCCCAAAATTTCTGTTGCTAAGGAAGATAGTTGTTAAGTGAATTTTGCCCCATTTTACTACTTTTCTTCCCACATTTGTTAATTGAATCATTGGACTGGGCTATTTTGCCTTCCTCTACTGAATACTCAGATTGTTTATCCTCTGAAGTATCAGGAGACCATGTCATGAGTGTGTGTCTAAGGGAGTGGGAATGCCTCCTACGGTGGGAGGGACCTACTCTAGAGCCCACCTGATTTGGACTGTTAGTCTGAAGTTCTCCCATCATTCCCTGACCAATAAGTTACGTAAAAACACTGCTGAATCCCCAGTGGCATTAACTGCCCTCCTGTTCCAGTGTGTTGCATTTGCCCTTATCTAGTTAAAGGAGGAGCCATTGGTCTTGGATTACTCAAGTAAGAACACCCTGGAAGTTCAGAATCCTGCGTATTAGAAAACTACTTGGCCCAAATTGTCCATGTCTGATCCCACTTGGGGTAGAATAGATTGACTTGTGTTATTCCCCCTTAGGAGTACTTAGTTGCAGTGATTTCATTTGTTCTTTTGAATTCTCCTCTACTTACTTTACCAACGCATTATGTAGTCTACGCTCGGCCTGCTCATCAGCTTTAGTTTTCCTAGTAGCTCTGGCCTTGGCCCTGATTTTGTCAGCTGCCTCCTGAACTGATCCTCTGGTCTTACAGGTTCTTTTACCCCTACCTTTTTGTTGATTGGAAGCAATCAGATGTGAAGACATTGTGTTGGAAGATTCCTCCATAATGTCTATAACTGACTGTAACATTACTCTAACTATATCAAATTAAAATAGAAACAACACTTAATTGTAATGCGTCTTATTAAATTCTTTAAGAAAATATTTTTCTGAGACTTTGACCCTCAGGACAGAGTTTCACTAATTTCAAGACAATTAAATAGCTCAATAACCACAATCTTTCAAGGTTAACTGTCTATAAGCAGTACAGCTCTAGTCGTGAGGCACACAGCATACAAGGGTAGAAAAGCTGAGGGAAAATACCTATTGTCTTTTTTCTGAGGCTTTGCCCCTCAGGACAGAATTCCGCCAATTTGAAGACAATTAAATAGCCCAATAACCAGAATCTTTCAAGGTTAACTGTCTGTGAGAGGTATAGATCAAGTTGTGAGGCACACTAGAGCTGGCTAGAAAATGGCTGCTTCTACAAAATGGCGCTCCCGCCAATTTAAACCATCACCAAGTTGATTTTATCTTTGCTGGAACCTCGTTGCAGCTAACACAGCAGCTCTGCTTAGATTGTGCTCCCTTATTTGGGCAAGGCTGTCTGACAGTCTTTTTGAATAAAGGTGCTTTCTGTGCTCAGACTGCTTAGCACTCCCTTATACGGGCAGGCAAAAGGTGCCTCTTTAATGCCCCCAAAACTCTATTCCAGGTTTTGGGGAGTGATATCTGCAAACTCCAGACTGTGGAAGTCTATTTGCTTGAAAAAGCCAATGGAATAGAGGCTTGTGATTGTAATAAGCATCGAGGCTTTTGAAAAGCCTAAGGTGCTATTAGTCCCTTAAGGACTGTTGTGTGGTTAGTCCAAAATAACAAATCTGAATTAAAAATACTACAAACACCCCTCTATGGATAAAGTATAGAGGAGCAAGATTAAAAATGTCTATCTCCGCCGAGACTGAATAGAAGAACTGGAGACGGTGGCCCGGAAGGGGTGTGTCTTCAGATTTTCTATTCAGTCTATAGCTGAACAGAGCTGAATACATCCCATGCATGGATCCTGTCGAAACCATTCTGGAAAACCCAAATGAGACCAGAAAAATTCTATTAAAAGAAATAGAAGAATTTGGTATGTAGCAGGACTCAAGATTAATAAAACTAAAATTAAAATGCTTGTTAAAAACCTGACAGAATATCAAAAGAATTAGAAAAGGAAACAGAATTGCAAATTACGAACAAGATTAAATAGGTATTTGTCTGACATCAAGATGCTCGTCTTTAAAAGAGGATGACTATGATAATGAGTCAAATGAAAACAGTTGTAGAAATGGGAAAAATATAGCTATCCCTAGTAGGAAAGATTGCAGCAATAAAAATGAACCTGCTACCAAGGTGGTTATATCTATTTCAGACAATTCCTATAAAATTAAATATTTTTTTTTTGAGAATTGAATAGGGCAGTGACTAAATTTATATGGGAGGGGGGAAAACCCCCGCATAAGGTTAAAATTATTGCAAGAGAGTAGATGCAGAGGTGGCTTTGGACTCCCAGACTGAGAATTATACCAACATGCAGCAGCACTAATTTGGATCAAGGAATGGATTGTCATAAGCAATAAGAGGCTATTAACACTTGAAGGACATGATCTACAAATTGGTTGGCATGCTGTTATGTGGAAAAAGAGAAATAAGACAAATTTACACTTCCTAAACCGTCAAATTAGAGATGCACTGTTAGAGATCTGGACTAAAATCAGGAAAACACATTACATGAAAATACCAGATTGGTTCTCCACTACGGAAGCTATGATCTACCCAAATACCTTAGAAATAAATAAAATGATTAGATATAACCAATTATTAGATGACCGAGGGATTTTGAAAATGAACCAAAAACTGAAAGAGGAACGGATAATAATAGATTGGTGGCCCTTACAAATACAAACAAAATACAAAAAAGACTTAGAAGAATTCAGCATAGATAGAACTCCACAACAAATAGATAAAATATTATTAGGAACAGAGGAAAAATTTATAACTAAAATGTACAATTATTTATTAAAATTCAACAGAGAAGAGAAGGCGGTGAAACCAACAATGATAGTCTGGATGAAAAATTTTCAATACAGTATACAACTAGAAGAATGGGAAAGATTATGAACGAGAAATTATAACTTAATGGCAGCTTCATATAAAGAAAACCTGTATAAAATGTTTTATCGTTGGCATCTAGCACAGCGAGATTGGCCAAAATCTATCCAAATTTGAAATCAGAATGTTGGAAAAGCAAAAAGAGACCAGGTACCTTCTTTCACAAGTGGTGGACCTGCCCAAAAGCGATAAAAGTTTGGAATAAAGTAAAGATCTGGTTACAGGAAATAACAAGCTCAAAGATAGTATCCAAACCTGAAACATTCTTACTAGGAATAACTAATGGGGAATATGCAAAAGATATTGAAAGCTTAATAATACAAATATTAACAGTGGCCAGGATATTATATGCTCAAAATTGGAAAGTTGATAATAGCCCCACAGAGAATATGATTATAAAGAAAGTAATGGGTCGTGCTGAAATGAATAAACTCACAATGAAATTGCAAGAGAGGGAAGAAAAAGAATTCAATACTGTCTGGGGAAAATGGTATGTCTGGTTAGACAATATATATATATACACATATACATACATACATACATGAACATGGAATAACCGATGATACAAAGAACTGCAAAAAATGTATATAGAATTCATTTTTTAAAGGTGAAAATTCAATAAAAATATTTTTAAAAAAGAAAAGATACAGATTTATGACTTCTGTTGAACCCAAAATTCCTATTGCTAAGCGAAACAGTTGTTAAGTGAGTTGTACTCCATTTTACAACTTTTCTTGCCACATTTGTTAAGTCAATCATTGCAGTGGTTAAGTTAATAACACTATTGTTAAGGGAATCAGCCTTTTCCATTGATTTTGCTTCCGATTCAGTCAGATTCTGGTCAGTATTGCAAGCTATTTCTGCTGACTGCCAAGAGTTTGATTCTGACCTGCTCAAGGTTGATTGAACCTTCTGAAACCGGTAAAATGAGGACCCAAATTGTTCGAGGCAATATGCCGATTCTATAAACTGTGTATGGAGTGTTATAAAGCACTATGAAGCGGTATATCAGTTTAAGTGCTATAGCTATTGCTATTTTGTCTTTCTATCACATGATAATAAGGAAATCTCTAAATTCAATTTAAATAAATTGGGTTTAATTGAAATTAATTGGATTTTAATTAGAATGGAATAAAATTAATTTTGGATATAAATAAAATTAAATATCATTGGTATGGTAGTCCATGAGACATTTTTTAAAATTCTTTTTAATGAATTAAACATTAAACACACAGGAAAACCTTTGGAAGGATTTGGAGGAGGGAAGGAATACTTTAGGTTTTCAGAGACTCAGACTGCTTTGAAGCTATTAAAATACTGCTCAATTATGGTTCTGGATCAGACTGATGAAAGGGCATCAATTTTAGTTTTGTAGCCACTGTGTCAGGTTTTTCCATTATAGAAGAATGAGAAATATGGGCTCAAAAGAACCAGGTTTTGGGCAAGAGAGAGGAGTTAATTCTATTCTTTTTCAATCACTTCTTAGCTCTATTTCCCTGTTTTTTCTTTCATTAATGTAGATAAATCTCTTTGTTGTTCTTGCAGGGTCACCTTCAAATCCACACTAATCTCTTCAAACTGTGGGAGTCTTCAGCTCTTTTGGCTTGAAGAAAATCCTTACTTTGTTTCATCTAGATGATTTACATTGTCTTTCAACTTCCAACTCATATTTCCTGAGCTTGTCTTCCCTACTGAAAAAACGAAGCCACTTTTCTTTTTTGCCTCATGGAATTTGAACTTTATGTGTATTTCTCAAGATTTTCCTTCCTGTATTTTGTAATTGCACCTTTCCGCCAGTCACCTATGAGACACCATTCTTCCATTCATCTATCCATCATGGCACCTTGTTTTGAGATAAAATTTCTAAAACTTCCATGAGTTTGAGCTTTCGCATTTTCAAACTCGTTTCCTTTTGATGTTGCTTTTCAAGCAAGATAATTTCTTCTGGATTCTTCCCATTTTTTCTGCCGCCACTTGCTATTTTGAACTGCTGTTAGCTGCCCAGAGATATGAATTTGAAAAGGCAGCTGAAATAATGGAAATAAAACATCAATACAAATCTTTTTTTAAATAAGTTTTTTTATTTTTTCTTATATCAACAACATATCTGGCTGCTCTTTAAGTTGACTCCTCCTCTTCCTGGACTTCCTATTTTCTTTTTGTCATTTGTGTCTCAATTTCCAGCTCTACGTTGAAGATCTCCTCGCATCCACTTGTCA